TTCCGGGGAAATGGTAACGACGACCAAGCTGGATTAAATGCACATAGGTACGGACCGTCCCCAGGATGGTGGTCATTTTATCGGCATGACAGATCAACGTGGTGGCTTAATTTTTTCAAAGACTTAGTTGAAACAAACATTTCAAGTATCACAATAGGTCATTCTAGGAAATTTTAGTACAATCCCATGGTACTATGATAAAGCAGCAGACTGAAATAACTTTCACCAATTTTTTGGATGAAATTTAAATACAAACAAGATTGCAAAATTGGTTGTGCACAAAAGCACAACTTGTGATTACTTTGATGGGGCATTTGTCTTTTTTAAAAGATGCTCTACTCTTTGACATTCAGAAATGAGATACAATATGGTAAAGTGAAACTTTATTCATATCCTACTACTTCACCTAAACATGAACAAGAACTGTAGCGACCGTCTTTTGGTGTGAAAGGAAGCGCAAGAACATAGAACTACAATTCATCAGTCTAACAGTCCAACTGAAACTGTTTAATGCATCCACGGTGTACCGGGAATTACAATCTTAAAACGTCTGCAGACGGCTCCAGTAACCGCTATCAGAGACTGTGATGAACCACAGCGAAAATAAAGGCTTCGGGTGAAGCTACAAACACTAAGCCAAAGGAAAGGCTTCGGGTGAGGCTACAGAAACACTAGCGTAGTCGAACGCTATTTTAACCACGGGGAGTTCTCACAAAAACCTGTACTGTTAAAAGATAACAGGCTATGTGAATTCTTGTACCATCTTGTGGTGTATGTTTTACTGCTAATTCAGTTCAAACATCACATTAACTACCTTTATACCATGGCTAAAACTGAAGTGAAATGACAGTTTCCAGCACTACCAAATTTTGCGTAAGGTTTAACTTTGGTGAAAGCCAGGTTAATGTTTCCTTGTTCAGTGCAATGTTTACCTTTGTTGCATGGTAACATGATCTGTATTACTACTGAAACTAACATCAACATCAGATGTTGCAGGGTATGTTTATGGTTTTGGAAATGCACTACAAAAGAACTCAAAGACAGTGAGTGTTATTACAAATTGAAATGTGGTGGATGTTTAACATCCAGTTCACTTTTAAACGAAAGATGATCAATTATTCTAAAACTACAGGTCAACAGTAGAATAAGGTAAGTCAGTTTCTTGATTAGCCTGATGCTTACCTTTGCTGAAATGGGAGTTGATGGTCAGGTGTAGAGAATGTCTTGCCACGGATCGGAGTTGTCACATCTGGGCCGCTTCTTTCTTCTTCATTTTCTCTTGGAGCCACTTGATCGAAAATGAGTCGACCTCACTTCGCTTTCCTGAGCAGCATAGTTTTTGAAGATCGAGTATTTTGCTGCACCTTTATCTGTTTCACTTACACTAGAGTCGCTTTCTGCTTTTTGAAAAAGTTTTCAAACCGGCTCCACAGCAAGCACAAAACATTTTTTCCAAGCAAAATGACGAACTAAGATGGCGGGAAAATGTAAAGCATGTCAGCGGTTGAGCAATGGTGGGTTTATGATTTGTATAGCATTAACATCCTGCATTACGTATCGGAAAATTTTGTGTTGTGTTTCGCAAATGTAGAGTTGTGTTTTGGAAGATTTGCGTTGCGTTTTGCAAATACTGAGTTGTGTTTCCATATATTGTGTTGTGTTTCGATAATACCGTATTGTGTTTCGATGGCATTATGTTGTACTTTTATAATACAGTGTTAGGTACAGATAATACTGTGTTGTGTTTGGAAAAGTGTTTGTTGCATTTCAGACATTGTTTATAACGTTTGTAGATATGGGCCACGGTAGATAAGATAACCATATCTAATTCCAAGTCACGAGGGAGGTTGAACCACGTGCAGTTGCCCAGATAGATTGCTTTGAAAATGGCAAATAGATCCGCGGAGAACACTTCTCAGGGGTACGTACTCTGTTGTTGATGTCGATATTTTCATGAATGAATGCGCTCTAGATTCGCGCAAGTTCGTTCTGCGATTTAGTTTCCTCTGGTTTGTTTCGTTGCGCTGTCATCCCTTCGAGGTATATCGATTGTTTATTGGATAACATTCAAATTCGCAGCATGAAATTTGCAAAAAGTTTGTTGAAGTTTATACGCTGTTACTCAGAAAAAATTTCAAGTAGTATAAAATGACTGTACAGAAAGAAAATTTAAGGATTGACGCCGACCCGAAGCGTCGGCTTCACTCGCGTAGAGTCAACCTTTTTCTCTAGCCCGCCTCAAATTTGCTGACCCATTCTATTGATACACACAGCTCAGTAGTGGTTAAGAGTTGTAAAGATAAAGTTAAAAAAAAATGTATTTTTCGATTTTTAAACGCTAACAAAAATATATTAACAGTAAGTCCACTCCGGAAGATAGCGCCACAAACAACAGCATGCTCTAACCGCGATGCGAACACTCATGGATCACAGCGCACCAGAACTCGAATTTTTTTTTCGTTTTTTTATTTTTTTTTCTTGATAATATTGCCCTGTAAAGAAATATATGTAGTATATTTTTGCACACATCACCGTCAGCGCATAACTGGCTAAATGCTGAGGAAGAAATTTACTTTATAGCATATCATTAAAAGGAGTAAAATCTAAGAAGTTTTTTCTTGCTGGGATTTCCTGGCGCGCCGCTGCGAACACTGCTATCTACATGTATTAGGCAGCGAGAAAATAAACACAGACAAGCAGAAAAAGGTCTTTACTCACAAACCTCTTTCACTATTTATGACCGATATTACATCTCGTATCTCAAGTTGATTTTTAAGCAAGGGAAGTTATGACAAATGACAGTGAAGTTGAAAATGTAAATGCAATGGAATGCGCTACGAGAAGAGGTATTTTACTCGTTGGTGATTTTATTCCGAAATTCATTATTAATTGTAAATGAAACATTCACGGGAGCTGAGGGAAGACACCATCAAAACGAAAACAACATCGACGGAAAAATTATCAGAAAGTTAATCAACGGACCTTGCACTCACTATAAGGTATTAATTCAGTTCGAATTGGTTGGCTTTTTCGTCACGATTTTTTATGGTTCACGTTAAATCAAATCTGCAAAGGAAAAGATATGTACAATCAGGACAGGTAAATTTAACCCTGTTGAGATTCATTCTCAAAATTAGTCTGTTTTAAGATAAAAACGCACAGTCTAAAATGAACCAACTCTCCAAGAGAGACAGAACCAGATGAAAAAATATATAAATAAATTAAAAAATAAAAATAAAAAAGGTTCTGCCTTCAGATAACAACAGCCCAGATAAAACTGACTACCCAAGAGAGACAGAACCAGGTGAAAAAAAAACGGAAAGGTTTTGCCTCCAGATAGCAACAGCCCAAATAGGACTGACTACCTAAGAGAGACAGAACCAAGTGAAAAAAAGGAAAGGTTCTGTTGATTTTAAGCATCTACCATCTAACCATCAGAGGAATCAGTCCTTTTCTTGTTTTGAAGCCACAGAGGCAAAGGCAAACCTTGCTTTCTGATAAAACGGTGTAGGTATCATCATTTTCGGCTCACGTTCTTAAGCAGTGAGATTCATCGCGCGTCATCATATAGCTCTAGACAGAAATAATCAGGCATACAACTTTACCTTATCGTCGAATTGGTCAAGCCGGCGAGTAGTTCCCGCGCTTACCTGATGTTTGGGACTTCCTTATTGGAAATTTTACTTCATACTTAAAGAGCTCCTTAGTATCGACGCCCGAAATGTATAATCGAAAAATCTATCCAATCGTTTCAAGCGATAATGATACTCCTGAATCTCCAGAACATAACGCAGTCGAAATCTCTCTCGAAAACAAGGTCGTTGCCGAGCGGTTCACCGCCTCCTTGCTGACTCTTGAGCCAAAGGTCTGATCAGAGTAGAATATTGGCTAGCTGTTACAATTTAAGTTTGGCATTGTCGTGTCAGAACAGATAATCGCTCTTTGTGTCAGAAATCAATGAATCTGTAGATCACGGACATAATGTGACGGCTACAACAACTGTTACTTGATTGTCACGTCACACAGTTTAAACAGGCTATCCTCTAATGTCATGACATGTTTAGGTTTAGCTAAGTCGTTCCTGTCGCTGAATCACTCTGCAATTGTGAAAACTGTCATCCCTGCTATGATTGCGTAATTATTCCCAAAGAGAAAATTGCGCGAAAGAGTCCTAAATTTACGTAACACTCGCTGACGTGCAAGCCGCGCGGATCCTTGCGTCTGTTTACATTTTAGTTGTCAACTTTAATTACCTTAATTTAACGTTCGAAACCAAACACCTCGCTTTCACTTGCCTAGAGGTCACGTGCTTGGATACTGGGCAACAACGCAAAACTGGAGGGCAAGCGTTCCAATACACAAAGTTCATAAGAGGTCACGCGCATATGCTTGAAAACGATATTTGGCTTGACTATAGAATGCTGGGCCCAATCTGAAGTTATATTCTGAGCCAGTGGCCCGGTGGCTCGGTAGTCAAAAAAGTCAGACTGCCGAGTCGCCGAACCGCCGAGCCACAACAAAAGTTCTTGTAATTTCATAAAGCATTTATTTTCTCGTTCTTTTAAGAATGATTGCCGAGGCAGTGAGCCGGCGAGCCACTACATAAAAATGGCTCCATTGGGAGTGATTCCAATCAACCCTTTAAGGGTTGTATTACTCCTATAAGTTGAGTAGTGCTGCGATTGCAGGCGTAAAGAGGTAGGTGTCTGAACAAATATTTGAGTACAAGTCAAGATCAAACGTGTGCTTGGGTATAGCTTCTTGAAACCTTCTGGCATATGCCTATTGACATCATCTCTTGAAGGCCAGATCATATGACATCCAAGCAAAAAATACATAAAATTACTCCAGGTGATTAATTTCCTACAAACTGAAGACCTATGTATCATTAATCTATAAGCTAAGTCCTGTTCAAATAATCCTAGTTTGAAGCGTACAAGAAAAATAAATAATTCATTTACAAGTAACATATTCCTACAAGCTGGTTTGCTCTCTCTTACCCCAGAAGCATAACAGCATAACAGTCATCATTTCAGCACTTGGATGAACAAACTGAAAAGAGAGCTGAATATGTTCATATGATGGGAAGCTGGTGTAAAATTTTATTGAATCATTATTTGTGCCAAATCTCTCTGGTCCAAATTTATTGAGTGCCAACTGTTCAGCTGCTTGCCTTTTTATTTCTTCAACCTCTATTGCAGCTTGGGTTTTTACCGCTTTTACTTCCTCTTGAGCTGCTTTAGTTTCATCTCTTCTTTTCAGTAGCTGTTTCTGCATAGCCAGTGGCTGTGCCATGATGGACTGAATTTCTGAGTGCATGCTGTCTATGGTTGGGCTAACTTCTGATTGACTTTCATGTTCATCATCACTCTCATCTGTTTGGGTATCTCTGTGAAGAGAAGAGTAATGTTATTAAAATACTTCCAGATTACCATGTGTAGAATAATGATTGATGCGCTAAATTTTAATTGTAAATCAATTTTACTATAATGGCATTACTGGAATACTCACAATAGATCATCAATACCTCTCGACATGTCGAATTATCTTTCTTGGTGCTCTGAAGTTGGATGACCAATCAAACTTGAAAGGAACAACTCCCCCTTTGAGCAGTTGTCGACCAGATGTGTTGGGTAGAAGGTAGTCTTCATCTTTGAAGTGTCTTGACCCCACTTACCAGGGTTTTTTTTTTAACTCCGAAAAGTCTTAGGATTTTGAAAGTTTCTACTTTGCTTCTCGTCAGACAAAGCTCTTGAAATAACTTGAAGTCTGAACCTTCATCTCCTCTTATCTTTAGGACCCATTCTTCTCTCAACTTAGTATTTCAATTCGTGGTGATAGCGTGAATTCCCATTGCATAGTGGAACACAACAATGGTAGGCTGATTTCTTTTAAGAAGTCAAAGGTTCGTCGGCAATATCGGCATTTAGAGAGATATGAACAATGCACGAAACAAACGTTTGTGCACGCAATCACTCGAAAAATATTTCCGCTAATCGACCATGAAATGCCTTTGAATCCCATGCAATTATCGTTTATGATTTAGAGTTTTCCTTTAGAGCCTTGAGAAGTCCTGATATCGCAGACCAGAGGGAAGAAAGATGAATTTGAAAGTACAGACCATGTGTAGTCGCCATGTTTGTTAGCTGTTGTGTATTCATTTAAATGACAAACTCACTCTTGAATTATTTTCCATATTCTGTCTTTATTCATCGATCTACTATCTAATAAACTGGTAAAATCATGTTACTTGATAAAAGTACTTTTACATATTTCAGTAATCCCACAATGATATTACAAAAATTGGTACAAGTGCTTTTTGTTATGATCTCGACACACTACTTTATAGTCATCGAACGAGTCGGCGCTACTAGTGTATTCACTATTTCTCCGTAAAAAAGCCTATCACAACTTAAAAATTGTACCAAACCAAAACTTCTACACTAAAACCTTACTAGCTTTGTAGAAACGGAAATACCAGTACAAGCTTTTATCCGTAGAAAGTATTGTTTTCAAGGAAACGTGCGTGACCTCTTATGAACGTTGTATATTGGAGCGCTTGTTCTCCAGTTTTGCGTTGAGCAAAGCTCGTCATGACTGAAAATATGAACATCTCCGTGGTGTTCTTTGCTGAAACTTTACCACGTTCGCGAAGAGATCAAAATCCTCTTCTATATTTAAAGGAAGAACGGCACCATTTAGCCATAAAATGCAAATCTATAATAAAAAAAATTCCGTGAGGTTGCAGCTGTGCAATTTACAAGGTGTCAAGCATCGATGTTCGTAATCGATGAATAATTCGATTGCATGACATGACACCTTCCGTACAAAATATCGTGTGACTGAAGTTGTTTTGCAGCATGTTTCTGATGGAGAAAAAAAAAGTTTTCGTTGAGGTTTCACTAATAATATTGGTTGCTGTGTTATCATTTGTTGGAATACGTATGCAATCCACGCAAGTGGACTTAACTGACCGATTCATCCTTGATGGGGGCATTGGGATTTTCGGTTTTTTTTTTAGATCGGTTTTGGTGCCAAAAAAATTTGATTTTTTGGATTGGTTGTTCATTGTGGCTTGCGGATTTTTCCGTTTTTTAGCATTTGATCTCCGATGTGGTGTTTGGATTTTCCTATTTGGATTCCGGTTTCTCTTCGACTCAAGCGGCCATCATGCGCTTCCATTGATCTCGAAAAGCCGCGAAACCTGTGTCGGATCGTTTAGGGTTTTGAGAACTGGAATGTGAACATTTATCACTTTTGACGGTTTGCATGCGGTTTTTGGTTTTGATCGCATTTTTTTTGTGTGTGTATGGTTTTACAGACCTTCCTTTTCGTTCTGTTCTGCGTCTTAAATTACAGTAGGACTCAGTTATTTCTTCTGAAATTGTGTATGGAATTTTTTATTTTTTTTATTTTTATTTTTTTAATTTTTCTGGATATAAAGTGCTCTTGTCTTTCTCACTTTACACTTGTATTTGGGACTGAAAGTGAGGGAATGGGGATTGTTTGTGCTAGGCAGCTTATTCCTGCCTTAGTCTGCATTATCGTGTATTAACTTTTTGATTTTCCATTCCTTCATGAAATTTTAATGTTCTGCAACACCTGTCTCTTCTTATTGAATCTTAAAAATGAAACAAATTTATTTAAATTTAAAGATGTCTTTATAATTTTGTTTTTTTTGAGACATGTTGACGGATTTTCAATCTCACAAAATTTCAATTTAGGTGCCCCACAGTTATCAACGAGATTTGGTTTGATCTTGGCTGCCTTGTTCCAGCTGTAAGTGAAATACTGAAGTAACTTTCGTCAAATAATGACAACAAATGCTTACATACGGTAATGAATTGATTTAGCGCTCTCCCTCCAATTAGCACCCCCCTCAAATAAACACTCCCCCTGGAAGCTCACCTATTTCTAATAAGTGCCCCTATTGAATAAGCATTATCGTTCCAATTAGTGCTTCTATTCCAATAGGCACCCCTATTCCAATAAGTGCCCTATTCCAATAAGTGCCCCTATTCCAATAAGCGCTCCCATTCCAATAAGTGCCCCAATTTCAATAAGGACCCCTATTCCAATAAGCGCCCCTATTTCAATAAGACCCCTATTCCAATAAGTGCCCCTATTCCAGTAAGTGCCCCTACTCCAATAAGTGCCCCTATTCCAATAAGCCTCCCTGTTTCAATAAGTGCCCCAATTCCAATAAGTTTCTCCATTCTGTTTCAGCCATATAAAACTGCTAGAGCACGTGAACATTGAGATTGACTGTTAAAGTTCATCTTCCTCAATTTTTTACTAATACCTAATTATGAAAACAGAGGTCAACATCTCAGCCTCTCAACTCTTATGTCTGCATGAGTGCACAGTTCATTCAAAAGAATTATCTGGTCTCAAAATTTTGTGATGATTGCTGGGCTGATCTTTCTAGCCAGGAAGGATCCAGGGATGTCAAGTATGCACATTTCCAAGTCTTCTTGGTCCTTTTCCAAGAAACATCAAACTTTGTTTCAAATTCTGTTTATCAAAAAAGAAATGAGCCCTGTTCCAATAAGCTCCCTGGTTCAAATAGACACCCTTCCCTGGGGTACCAAAGGTAAATAAGTGCCTCGGGCACTAAACCAGATTATTACAGTGTATTACTTTGCAATTTTTCCCACCTCAACTTAATGGCATTTTAAGTAATGTAAGCCTACATGCATCTGTTTATAAGACAGAAAGTTACAAAGTTGATGATATTTTACAAAAAGCTTTACCTGTAATTTCATGCTTGCACTTATTTTTTTTTTGCTAAGGTGATTGCATGGGGGGAGCTATTAATAACATATTCCTGTTCTGATTTCTGAACCCTTTCACCATCTCCATTCCAATTCTTATGGTGTGAGTTTATAGAATTTGGTATTAAAACTATTTATATTAATAATGATTTATTTACTTACATTGTTTGTAGAGCATGATGAATGATGTAATGATTGCATGCGCTTTACAAAAAATATAAAACAAATCTAAGCATAAAATTAGCAGATACAATAAAAAACTGCTTAAAAATTACAGATGTGTTAAGAATGAAATACTATTTTAGATTTGAAGATATCTGTGTCGTGCTAATTTAAAATAATGGGTCTTAAGCAAACAATTAAAATTGTCAACAGTACTCGCTTTTTCAATATATACATACATATCAGAAGTGAGTTCCAAACTTTTAGGGCAGTGACATTAAAGGGGTGATCACTAAGTTTAGCTAGACTTGTGTAATGGATAATTTAGGGGAATTTCGTTGGTCAATCGCAAATAATAACTTGTTTCATATATAATAGAGGTAAGATCAGTTATGTACCACAATGACATATAGCCCTCTTTGTGAAAAGCACAATTTTCAAATTATTCCTAATGCAAATGGGCAGCCAATGAAGCTTCATACACAGCGAGGTAATGTGACAGAATTTCTTTTCCATATTTCTGATGATCAACTAATTACTACCTCTACTGGCATATATATACATATATATTTTTTTTTTCGCATTTTTCTTATTACCTGCTTGCTTGGTAACATTGCAAGGGAAGAGTATGTCTTGATTGCGTATGGGAGTGAAAGGGTTATATATGCAAAGTGTTATTACCTGTAGATCATAGCAAAGAATTTTGTTGGGTTGGGCATAAATTAAAGTGTTTCATTTACATTATACATCCATATAAACTGTATTTTATTTTCAATTGATAATTATTATTATTATTATTATTATTATTCTATTTTTAAGCTTTTCATCATTTTTATACTGGCCTTTGTCAAGCGAAGAGTCAAATTTGAACCTCAAAACTGCAATTGTTATCATGGTTTGCTGATGTGAGTACAGAATTGATTAAAATTTAAATGTTCGATTTGATAGAGGAAAAAGCTCAAGGCATATATTGAAGGTTAACAACATATAGTCTGATCATTGTGTACTTATAAGTAGTTGTACCTAAGTCTAAGTGACACCCAGCTGCATGTAATTTTATAAAAAAGTTGCTACCTGTTGTGCTTGTGTGCTTGGAGAGAGGGGGGGGGTTAAGGAGGAGGGGCTAGTAACAAGCAAGGGGATGTGCTGCTGGTTTGGGTTGCATTTTCATGCCTGGATTTAAGCTACAATGGGGTTGAATTTAAGCTATAATGGGGTTTCATTTTCAATAGAGTAAATAAAATGTGGATTAGCACATTTTCATGATTTGGAAAATTCTGGCACATTCAAGTAGGGATTTATAGATGGGAAGGTTCAGGTAAGATTCAAATGTACCAGAATGTTAATGCACTGTAAGTAAAAAGTAAAGCGTTCTAAATGTAAGCAAACAAATGTGTTATTTCAATCTAGGATCATGACCTACTTTGTAGTAACTGGGGTTTAACAGAAATTGACAAAGTTGGGATCACAAAAATTACATTTCCCTTAAAGTGACTCACTTAGCAGATGGGGTGTAGAACTGACCACAGAATAGACTATTAGGGGGCAGGTGTTCTTAAAGGCCAGTCACATATACCCAGCAAAAATTGACCTAAGCACCCCCCCCCCCCCCCCCCCCCCCCCCCCCCCCCATCTATCAGGAAATTGTGCCATTTCAGTCTGAATATAGACACAGTGCAATAATATGAGACATTCGCTCATTGAATGGGTTTACTGGGAGTGTATTTTAAATGAGCTATTTGAGTGTCACTGTTTTACCAATGTTTGTCTGGTTTCCTTCCAGACCATTTGATTTTTTAGGTGGTTTTAGCAACAGATTCACCATTGCTGTTATATTTGGAGCCACCTCTAGTACATGCCTGGATATATTTTTACGTCCAAAAGATGGAATTTTTCAGATGGCTGACCCAGCTGGATGGGTGCAGGGTAAGTGATCATGCCATGGCAACCTGATTTGGAATAAATTAAATGTTTTTGTTTTTGGTTGTTTGTTTATTTATTTTTTCTCACTGTTTAAATCAGTTGAGTGATTACAGTAGTTATAAGATAACCCAGTTGCTGTGGGGCAGAATTAGTTTATGAACAAATTTTAATGTAGTTATATGGAATTCAATGTAGTTTAAATGACTAGGAGCATATACATGTGTAGTCAGTTGTGTTTTCAGGGGTTTGGTTTGCGTCTTAGCCAGCTGTTAGCGTTGGTGCAGTGTTTGTTGTATTCTGCAGAGTTTGCAGCAGTGCTATGGTTGTTAAGACCCAGGGGCCATCCTCCTCCAGCAGTATGCCTTATCAGTGCATGCGTTCTTCTGCCATTGTGCCTGTGTTGTGTTTGCTGTTCTATACCATTGCATTGTTGTCTTTGTGAATAGCAGTCCTTGACATTTCCCTCCCCCCCAACCCTAACTGCAGGGTTTCTTGTGCAGGGTTTATTTCTATTTAATATTTGTTTTATTTGTTTATTCATTTATTTATGTTTTCCTCCTTTGAGTCATTTCACTCTAGTGTAATGGGTGCTCAGAGGGGGCTTGGCACAAGAGGTTTGTGGCTGGATTGTGGGTTGGGTAGGCCAGTCAGGTGTTCTAGCACCTTGGGCACTTAGCCTCCATTTGTGATGTGGGCATGAACTTGATATTAAGTTATTTATTTATTTGGAATATCTAGACAGGCTGGTTTAGTTCAGCTTTAAAGCAGGTTTAAACGCAGGCCTCTATGAATGATAACAAGGCCAAATGACCACACCAGGAGCCATATTTGTTACTCTTTAACTCATAGGATCTGATTATCAATGAATTTCTCCCTCAATGGCTGCTGCACATTTGCATATTCGTCAGTTATGAGAACTTTTCTGTCAGATCAAGGAAACATCCTCTACCTGATAAGTTTGAGTACTCTTATCACCTGTTTGCTGGATAATGTATGGATATTATGGGGAGAAGTTACCTGGTAATCATTTCTGGTAGTTAAAGGGTCAGTGTCCAATGCTTATAACCAGTACTGAGAGATGTAGGAGAGTACAGGGCCTACGGTTTATGATCCTTAGCCAAGAAGACTAGAATGTCTAACCATAGCAAAGGCAGCATGTTCTCCTTTTATTTTAAGACATGAGTGTTGTTGCAGTCTGGGGCTTGAACCCTCAACTACCTGCACAGCAAGAACACCTTTGCAATGTAGAAAGAAATGACAAGGACACATCCAAACTGGTTGCTAGACAACTTAATCTCCTAAACCCCTTTCCCTTCTTCTAGGAAGTTCATAGGGCCGCAAAACTTCACGACAAAAATTTATCTTTAAAATTAGCACTTTTAATCTCCATGGTATCAACAAATGCTTTTCATTCAGCTAATTTATTCTTGTTTTCTCGTCACCATAGCGTAGCACCATTTTCTGCATAAAAATACACACACCAACCACAATTCCTCCAACTGTTGTGACGAAGGGCTAATGCTAATGTCAGCTTTTAAACTCTTTATGGTAGCCTATTTACATTATCAACATAGTTGATAGCACTAAATAACCCTGTTATACTCTCACACTGACGCAGCCCTACAGTTTCTTTGAAAACTTATCTCCTTTACGTGCACAGCAGTCCAATATTCAACATGAGCAAGCAGAAAAAAAGAAAATTCCTCTGTTTTAATTAGTTTTTCAGGATATTGTCACTGTTCTTGTATACGGAATCCTGTTCTATCCAATTTTTGCCTGTCTGACAACTGACAACAGATTGGTTGGGTCTTTGCTGGGATTTCTTTATGTTACAATCAGGTGAGCTAACTATTACTTTGTTTATGAATACCAATTTATAAAAACCATGAATTGTTTTTTCGATTAACAAATACATTTCACAGAACTCTACAATTACTGATAATTACCAGTAATTCAAATACTACTCTAATGTCGAATACTACTCTTGGCTTTGAAATAAGTGATGTTTGCGTTAATTTTGGACCGTGTTTTGTACACATGTAGTGGTAAGTAGGGAACACATCATGGCTTACATATGTGGAAAAAAATTAATGATTTGGTTCTGTCAGCTTAATTAATCCTTTTAGCCCCAAGAGTAATCAGCATGTAAGTTCTCCCTCCAGTAATATTTCTGAATTATTCATTAAAAACATGAGAATAAAAAAAGATCGCCAACCCAATAGGCTCTGATTACTACATGAATTCTCCTCATCAGTACCAGAGGAAATTTACAGTGAAGAGTCTGGAGAATATGGGTATTGATGTTAACCCTTTAACTCCCATGAGTGACCAAGACAGAATTTCTCCTTATAATATCAATACAATATCAAGCAGACAAGTGATGAGAATAAAGAAAAATATCATTTAGGGGATTATAAGTTGATCCAATACAAAATTCTCCAAACTAACATCACAAGAGCTGTATGGCAGACCATAACAAGAATTCCTGATGAGATCTCATCAAAGGGATAGATGTAAACTAATGGACAATGAAAGCAAACCAGCATAATTAATTTCTTAGATTCGCCTTCAAACTAGGGATGGAGTTTCAGTGTGTAATATACTTGAAGGTAAGGATAGGGAGTATTCAAGGAAATTGTATGTTTTTGATACTTGGCCTTTTTTGTTTTTGTTTTGATTTTTCTCAAGGTGACATTTAACAAATCAAACATGATTCTCCCTCAGTCTATAGCCTTATTGATCATAGAAATGATGCCAACAATGTTCAAAACTAAAGTGAATCTGCAAGGTGCAGCCAAGTGGTTATGCCCACATGTATTTCTACAAGAGTATAAAGGGGGGGTGCATCAAGTATAATAGGGTTGGAGGGGGGGTTGCATAGGGTATAAAGTGGAGAGTATAGAAAGTTGACTGTCAATAGCAGCCAATGAGTGTGTGTGTTTGTGCAGAGTGTGGTAGTGGGGGAGGGGGGGTTGGGTGGGTGGGAAGAGGGGGTCATAAGGATATTACAGAGTCTTATAGGGGTGATCAGGTCAATTTATCATGAAAGAACCAAAATCCTCCTACCCACCCCTCTCCCCCAGGTGATGAATGATGACAAGCCCACATTTAGTTATTTATTAATATATATATTTTTTTCTTTTATTCTATGTATTTATTCATTCCTTTTTTTAATTACTTTTTTTTCACTAAGAAAGAGTACCAGAAGGAGTTATTTTACCTGGAATATCTGGGGTTAGTTCCAATCAACCTTTGCCTTGCATTCATTTGGATGAAGTTCGGTCTCCTGCTCTATCGTGAAGTGAGAAAGAAGTGTTTCCCATCTGGGAGCTGGGTAAGTCACTTGTGAGGCACACGACATACCAGTTTAACATCGGGCATGCGCGAGGGTATCAATTATGGCCGGCCGTGCGCCAATTTCCGCCTTAAAGGATAACATAAGAAGCAACCTCTATCGCAAAATAGGCGAAAGAAAATTGAAACGTTCTTAGAGATCTGCAAAAGGAAACAAGGTACGTAGTGATATATCCTTAACCTGCAGCGATAGATGTACATCGCTGAGTTGAAACGATATATCGCTCAGAGCGAAACCTGTTTAAACAGTGCAACACTATATCGCGATTGTCTTAACCACAGCTTCTACCTTTCAGAGCCACATGAAACCAAACTTCCCGAAACGCGGGAAAACGTGGGTTACCAAGTCGATTTAGTTTTGAATCTGATTGGTGAAGAGAGTGGTGCGAGTTTTCTGGACCAATCACAGTGCGAAGTAAAGCATAAACGAAGCAATAATGGTTACTTTTGACATTTAAAAGACAAGTGTTCATATAGGACGATGTTTCGTCGATAAGTCGCGATTTTCGTGATAATCGTCTCACAGTTTTGTACGCTGGCTATGAAAACCTTTCCGAGGATGGGGATTGGGGTGGAGTTGCTGCTTGCTCCCTCTTTGGACTTTATAGTTTGTCTGAAACCATGCCCAGATAAGGGTGACTGTTGTTAAAGTTTGTTTGAAATCTTTTGCTGCTGACAAATTAAAACTTTTCTTTTCCAGGGTGGCGAGGAAATCCGCAATAAGCGTTTGGCGAGTGAAATTGAAATCGCTCACATGACGGAACTTCTGAACCCAGGATCAATTTCGTAAGAAGTTGAAATTGACAATCTAGCATGTAAATTTTATTCAGACAAAGTGTTGTAAAATGGGTTTTTTTCCACGGTAAGATTATTCGCCTGAGATATTCTCTACCGCTTGACAGCTTATGAGGGCAAAGGTTTATTCTAGACCGATACGATTTGTCGCTTGGGATTTTATCTGCGCTATGATTGATTCTGAAATCGCACTCATAACTAATACTCTTTTTGATATGACTTAGATACTACGAGCGCCTTGATTGGTAAAAACGCTACCATTTATTGCACTGGTTAAGCCATCTGCTTTGTTTTAAGTTATATTGTAAAAGCAATAGACTGCAATTTTTATCGGTTTACCAGCGTGAAAACCCACTTGGAATGTTAAAAGAAAGCGAGAAAAATTTGTTAATAAAGAGCCTGAGGCGAGTGATCTACAAACTTTTGTCGTGTTCTCCCAACAAGTTAAGTAGGTTACTATGCCGGTAAAACCGATAGAAAGTTCGATCTGTTGCTCAAATAGAAATGTTCCGCTCTTATTGTTAAATAATGAAGGATTAGTAAAGCCAATCAGACTGCAGAATTGTTAACCAAACACTTTAAGATTTATACTTGAATCTCTTAATTCACTCATTACTCTTTGTGATTGGTTTGGAAAGCGCTCCAATCAGTCTTGATTCCTTTGGCCTACGTGTAAGGCTGTCATGCTTAGTTTAAAAGAACGTGTACGTAAAGAAAAGGGGAGCCATTGATCACCAGCGATAACATAGACGTAGGATTGATGCATACATTTGTGATGAAGGATTCAAGTGATATATTTCTTTCGTTTTTGCATAAGTTCAGACAGATTACAATGATTCTCTAGTTATTCGGGATCGGTGGTATAATTCCCTTTTGTTTTGCTTCAAACAGGGGAAATAAGGTTGGATTAAACTGGTTTTCATGTCTGCTTCGTTGTTTCTACAAACCAAGGAAAGGTAAATAAATTATATTTTGTTCGCGCCATGTCTTTGAGCCACGAGCAGGAGCATTTGAATAAGGAGATGATTTAAATGACACCCAGTCGTTTTTTTGTTAAAATTTGTTTTAACTTTATCTGAATTTCACTTTTATTTCTTGGATTTAGATTTCAAATTTTCGACACAATTCATTTCAGCAACGTTGGTTAGCGCTTTAACGATCTTTCAGGTGAGTTGGATAATTTTTATTGATTTAAGTATTCTACATTTGCTTTCACTTTTGGTAATACTATGATGGCAGAATGACTGACTGACTGACTGTCTGACTGACTGACTGACTGACTGACTGACTGTGCGACTTGCTGACGAAGTGAATCACGCTGTCTCCATGGTCATCGTTATCGTCATCGTTTTCGTCACCGTTTTCGTCACCGTCGCCTCGGTCATTTATCATACTCATTACTGTTTTTGTTTTTTATTTCTTTCTTCATAAATACATACATACGTATATACATAGATGCATTTTACGAATTACTTTCGATACAGATTAAAGTTTCCAGGCTACAGGTAGGGCGAGTCCTCGAGTTGACAGTCAAGAGCTTTGTTTATAAAAGTTGTCAGATGCAGAAGATTGGGTGTTATGAGAATGGATCTCACAAATATAGTGGAGGAGTTTTTGAATGATTCAAAGTGCAAATCTATGTCTAAAGTCAAACATCAAATTAGCTGTAAGGTAATAGCGGGAGAATTGCAATGGTAAAACAACAGCATTAGTACATAGAGGAATTGCATGATGGCACTCTCTTCCAACTGATGTTTTACTTTCTACTTAGGTCTTCATGGCAGTGTTTTCCTTAATGGAAGAATTAAGAGGAGCATATATTGAAGCATACATAAATATTGGTGACACCAGCTCGGCTGATTTTGAAGACGTCCTCTATAGTAAGTTTTTCTTTCTGTAAGCTAGAAAAAAACTTGTTCCAGGTGTTTAGTTAGAAAACCATGCGTGGTAGTAAAGTTAAAAGCGCGATAATATCGATGAAGCGAATAACATAATTTTTTGGTCGGGTCGAAAGTAGAGAACGCAATCAGACCCAAACCTCCCTCCTGATTTCTATCCGACCCAAACCTCCTTCCTGTTTTCTACCCGACCCAAACCTCCCTCCTGTTTTCTACCCAACCAAACCTCCCCCCTATTTTCTTCCCGACCCAAATCCTCCTTCCTCCCTATTTTTGACCCGACTCAAACCTACTTGAAACAGACCAGCAATCAAACCGGAAAAACTATTCCGAACGACATGCGAATAAAAAAGAGTTGGTTAGATGGTTAATTTTTATTGTAATTCTTTTTTTTTATTTATTTTCTTTGCAGGTGGGTTAGAAGCAGGACTTGTCTTGTCTGCTGTCATTTCTCTTTCAGTGTTGCTCCACTTCATGAAATGCCATCGGTGAGTTTTCATCATAATTTGGAAATGCTGAAGCTTCTCCTGAGTCAATCATCGTGTGCTGAATTTTTTTTTATTAAGGAAGACTTTTAAGGCTGCCTCCATTCACGGGAAGTAAATTTATACATGTAGGACGTAAAAAATTCAGTGTCAAGGGAAAGTGATGAAATATATATATATAGATATATATATATATATACACATATATGTGTTATTGTTGCTGTTTTTCATTATTTTAAAAATAAAGTAAAAAAAATAAAGTATTCCGTGGCAATTATGCACCCTTGCAAATTGGAGTTGTTGTTGTTGTAAACGATTTCTGGACCCATGCGCTCACGTCCAATGTTTTAAAAATTTATTTCAGAGAACACGTGCTTCAGTTTTATCAAGGGCAAGCAACATTTTTAAAGGACCTACTATCGACTCCTGCAGCTTCAGTGGTACGTACTGTGGTTAAGTGACGGATGATAGGAAGTTTAAGAAACGACGACGGCGATGCTATGGACAACGTTGGTTTAAATTAACTTATATTTTACCTACGAATCTCGCTGTCAAAATATCTCGAAACTGAATATGGAACACAGTTTCAAATTAGAAATGGGAGTTAAAAAAAAACTGTCGCCATTCACGTTCTCCAGACAACGGAAAGGTGGGTCATTTCATGTTGTTGTTTTGCAGATTTACGCAAAGATATTTACAAAGATTTTTCACCCACGTACACAGCCGTTGTTCTACTCATTAAACGTTTTGTTTCGTGTCGTTCCCGTTACCGTCGTGACTTTCTTAAACTGCTTGGTTAGTCGTTGTAATCAGGATGGATCCTGGAACAACAAATCATTTTCTAGTCTTTTGAAGCTTTCAAATAAACATCAAAGCCATGCTCCCTACATTTTGCCGTTTCTCGAAACAAAAGAAACAAAAATAGAGAAGAAACTGGGCCCTATCCCTAACAAGCACCCTTTTTCGAATAAGCGCTCTTCCTTGAAGTACCAAAAGTAAGTAAGTGCCCGGGCACTAAATCGAATCATTGCGGCATGACGATATTGACGATAATGACGATGATAGTATTAATATTTAAGATACTACTACTACTATTACTGATTATAATAATAATGATGATGATGATGACAATAATAGTGTTTGGGAAAATGATAAGTGATAAGGATACCACAAGAAAACGACATGTAATGATGATGATGGGAAACAGATGATTTTCAAGAACTCCAAACCCGGAAAAATGTGTGAGTCCTCAGCTGGACCTTAAGACTTCCGTTTACAGTGTAATGAACAAGTTCTTAACGACAAAGAATTCGTTTACGAACCAATCCATCTACAAAGCTTGTCATGCGACAAGTGTCGTGTATGTCACTAGAATAGTTATCTCCAATATCTTGTGCGTAAGTGTGTCATTGTTTTTTTTCCTTTTTATTCTTGCTAGGGGGAGAGTCTCCGATTTTCTGGATATCAGATAGCATACACATTGATTGGTATAAGAAAATGAATTTGATGTGACACAGTATCTTAAATGCAAACCTTCTGTTTGTCCCTTTGTTTGTTTGATTGATCGATATCAGTATCTGAACAATTGCCACCTACCCCTCCCCTAACCCAACAACAGTCAACTGATAACAAGTCAGGGTTAAGGTTGGGTTTGGGGAGGGGTAGGAGCGCAATTTCTTAGATAATGACATTGACCTTGTTTGAACATGATACAAATGTACCAAAGAAATACGCAATAATAGGGATTTGAAATTCTGAGAATAAAGTTTGGTCCTTTAAGCGGTTTATTTAACGTTTTTTTCCCCCAGTGACTTTTATTCTCCTACAGAGTTGTCGCGTTTGAATAGATGTTTATGTTAGATTCATGAAACGAAACCTTTGTGTTGTTGCCAAAACTTGAATTTGAAGAAATTCAGATTGTTTGTGATCTAATCATAGCTGAGAAGCAACGCGTTCACTGTAGGGAAGTAACAGTTTTTCATAAACCTGCAAATTTTAAGTCATTGTTGATACTATCAGATGGGCTAGTAATTACGCAGTGCTCTTGGTGCAAATGTGATCTCATCATGAAGCTCTGTGATATTTTATCTTCATTTCTTCTCTAGGTTTTGGGATCCTGACAACTTTTCTGTCAACTGTGGCTGCTGCTTTAGCAATCGTTATCGAATATCCGGAAGAATTGCTCACCCCAGAATCATGGAAATATTTAAGAGAAACCGGAATTGCTTTGTTGTAAGTTTTACCGATGTATTTGTTGTATCGATTTGAATCTTAAGAATGAGAGTCATATGACTGCATCAAACAACGAGTGTTAGAAAATTTACTTCTAACAAGCTAATTTGTTAAATGATAAAAATACAATTATAGTTAATCTACAATATCGTAAGGGTTTCTTTGTATTGGTGTCGGAAAAAGGAATGGAAATATTATATTATTTTAAGTTATTTAATGCAAATTATAAAAAAGGGCAGGTTGATTACTTCTTACTCCTTCATGGTGGTCTTATCTTAAAGGTTGAGTTTGGTCACGTTCTTCATTTGAGTTTGGTCACGTTCTCCTAGTGAGTTTAATCACGTCTTCCTCGTTGTGATCGTGAGGTTGACATGGAACTCGTGATAAGCCATGTTCTTAATTCAGTTAATTTGCTAGTCCAGGAAGAGTAAATCTCCCTGGTAATAGGTTGTGTTCGACACCTTCTTGTCCTCAGAGGTAATTTAAGGTGTAAACAGGTGATACCCTTCATGTTTCGCAACCAAAAACAATTTGGGGGCGGTACTTGTAAGCGCCTTTCTTCTTTAACTCTTGTGACTCAGATGTTATGTGTAACAATCTTTAAAGGTGATTTTCTCTTAAGATACCCTTTCAGGTATAAATAATACTCTGAACCTAAGTTATTTGTAATTTTTATATCATCGATCTCGTTTCTGTTCTGGCCGATCTCAACCGTAAAGATATGAAAATTAAGGTAGAAATTGATTTTGTAACTGCGTAAACAACTCTAAGGTGCATACTCAGTATGTGGGAACTGTAATACGTAGTCAAGCGTGATTCGCTAGTTGAGATGGTACGATGACAACACAAGAAGATTGACGGCGTAGAAATATCATCCGCAGTGTCACCTTTATAAGCGGAGACTCTAGTTTTTCCTGTCAGATAAAAGCTAGTCCCCGTTGTATCAATTTGTGAAGAAAGAGAATAAAGAAGAATTAACCTATCAAACGACGAGTGTTAGAAAATTTACTTCTAACAAGCTGGTGGTTGGACTTCGGACTTATCAGTGGTCGTGGTAGAGGTTCTCACCAACAACAATCTCCTCGCTGCCCGCGCTCTTTACCACAAGAGCTTCTTTGAAACTTACAGTTCCAGTACGAACATTTGTTACGACGTCTTAGAAGGCAAGAGCCTCTGCGTACGCTTGGCATATAGACGTTTTCATTTTGTTTACAATTAGAGGAAACTGAAAGAAAAACCAGGAGAAACCAGGCTACCAAAAGAAAAGCCAAGAAAACAAAGCAAAACAGCAACAAAAAAGAACATTAAGGACCAGTGACATTCTAGGCCACTGAAGGAAACAACAGAA